TTCCAGCTCTGACACTCTGTGTTCTAAGAGCCCTCCCAGCCCTGACATCTAGGGCCCTCCCTCACAGCTCCTTGGGAGCGTATTCTTGCCTTACTCTGCATTCCTAGTATTGTAGCACAGTGCTTGACTCATACAGGGTAAGCCCTTATGGCTGAAGGCACCTTGGTCCTTCCCACTTCCCCATCCTCACCAAGCTTGGTGTATGTGTCTGGGTGTGTCTGTGTATCCAGGGCCTGGAAATCCTAACCACCAGCAGCTGCCACCACTTTGTGTCTGGAACAGCCCCAGAGGTGAGAGGCCTCCTCATCCTGTCTGTTCCCTGCTTTGCCCCATCCTCACCCCACCCCCCCCACCCCCGCCCCGGGAGGAATGCAGCGCTCTAATCCCTGTCTGCAAGTTCCTCCTGTTCTCCAGAGCACTTCAACTGCTCGGGCTGATTGAGGCTCCAAGGTGGGGGGAGAGCTCCATCGCTGCCCCCCCCAGCCCCCTACTCTCTCCCTTTGCTCTCCAGTCTCCTGCTGACAGCTGTTCTCAGATCTTGCTTGGAGACGAGATTGTGCAGGTCAACGGGCGAGTGGTGGTGAGTCCCCTGGAAGGGAAGGAATGATGGCATGTCTAGACAGTTGCCCTGTTGGAAGAGAAGGGGGCCTGCTGAGGGTGGGACCCAGGTCTGGAAATGAGGATCCCACCCCGTTGAGGGAACCTTCTTCCATATGGAAACTCCCCATCCTTTTGGTGTCCTTGGGCTCGGGGGAGAGATGGCGGGAGCACACCTAGGGGATGGACACACGGTACAAGCCTACATTGTAGGGGAGCCTAGGTATCAGACATGGGTGAGGAGAATTGGGGAAGAGAGTTAATGAGTTGGGTGGGGTTGACGAGGGAAGGCTTCCTGGAGGAGAGCACATTTTATGGTACTCAGACTGAGGAAAGAAGAATACAGGATGGGGAGCAGGTTTGTCCAGCCGGATCAGAGCTTCTCACCTGTATATCAGGGGAATGAGGTAGGAATGGAGGTGAGGGGGCAATTCACGGGCAGCCCCTGCCCCCATTCCACTCAGACCTAAGTCTCTGCCCTACCTGCCTTGGTCCTTGAGGTGGGCTGGCCCCGGGCTAGCTTGGACAGGCAGCTGCTCCAGGACCCGACCCTCCTCAGACTGGTGCTGAAGACTGTTCCTGTGCCCAAGACTGAGCCTCAGGTGGGTTCCTTTCCCCCTTCCCCATCCCTGCTCTCTATCCTCTTGTCCCTCACTCACAACTTTCTGTACTTATTCCTCAGAGCCCCTTGGACATTTCCTGCTCAAGGAGCCAGTCACCAGGCTTGACCTCCCCACCTCCTGGGTAATGGACTCTACCAGCAGAGTATGTCATGGGTTGGGGATGGCACATGGGGAAGAGTGACCATTGGGGCCCTGCATTCTCTGTTCCCCACAGAGCCTCAGAAGAAAAAGCTACTGCCTTCATGTTTGACCAGAGCCCAGGCCCAAGATCCCCCAGGTCTTCTGAGGCAGGTAGGAAGGCGAAAGCAGTATGAGGGGATTGGGAATTCTAGACTTGGGTTCTAATCCTGGGATTAGAATTCTAAAATTAGAATTTTAGACTTGGGTTCTAATATAGAATTATAGAATTAGGATTCTAGACTCGGGTTCTAATCCTGGCTCTACTATGGCCAGTTGTATGAACATAGAGAAGTCCCTTCCCTTCTCTAGGCCTCAGTAGAAAAATGACGGTCCAGTTTCTACCACTGGGGTTTGGGCTAGATGACCTCTAATGGGCTAGATGACCTGGTATTCTGTTTCAGTCATCAAGAACATACCCGGTTCTGGCATTCTGTGTTCTAACATTTTATGTTCTAAGGCCCCTCCCAATTCCGACATCCTGTGTTCTAAGGCCCCTCCCCTCTCTGACTTCTTGGGTCTCTAAGGGCCCTCTCAGCTCTGACATCTTGTGTTCTAAGGGCCCTCCCAGCTCTGACATCCTGTGTTCTAAGGGCCCTCTCAGCTCTGACAGCTCTGACAGCCTGTGTTCTAAGGCCCCTCCCAGCTCTGACATTTGTGTTCTAAGAGCCCTCCCAGCTCTGACATTCTGTGTTCTAAGGGCTCTCCCAGCTTTCACATTCTATGTTCTAAGTTGTCTCCTAGCTCTGACATTCCATATTCTAAGGCTCTTTCTAGTTCTTCCAACTTCAACATTTTTTGATCCCATTGCTAGTGCTTCAGTATGTGCCCTGTGTCACACACCTCCAATCCCAGCACATACCACAGATTGATAGGATGCCCCAGCCAACCCCATCATATAAGAAGAGCAGTGTTATCAGCATGGATGTCTGAACTTCTGGGTTCCACTGTTCGTTCTCCAGACCACAGACCCCTCCTAGGCATCTCTCCATGCCTGGTTCTCTGTGGGCCCAGAACATAGCATGTTTTGAGAAGGCTGCTGTCTTCCTAGGCCCAACCACACCTTTAGCCTGTGGCAATATCTCAGGCTCTGATGGGGCACCCAGCTCCCCCAGAGTAGCAGATCCCCACCCAACAGCCCAGCCAGGCGTAGAGGAAACTGAGAATCACGGATTCCCAGAGCCCCTGGACAAGGTAAGCTGGGAGCTGAGGGGGAGGAGCCCCCAGGTCTGGCCTTCCCCTTTCCCCCAGCCCTAGCCAAGTATCCAGGATGGAGCTGGGGCTAGAGACGAGGCTGGACAGCAGCTGGGTGAAGGAATTGGGCCTGTTCAGCCTGGGGAGTACATAGAGGAGATGGCAGCTTTCCCCAGCTATCTGTAGGGCGAGCATATAGACAAGGGTGCATTCTGCTTGGCCCCAGAAGGCAATCGGGTGGGAGCTGCCAGGGGAAAAGATTTGTGCACAATAGAAGAAAAACGTGTTGAAGCTGAGAGGTCTCCAGATGGGGGATGGGTTTCTCCAGAGGGTCAAGGTCCCCCATCACTAAAGACCCTGAGTCAGAGACTGAATGATCATTTGTACGAAGGAATTGCTGTTTGGGTGTGGGTTGGTCTAGATAACCTTCAAGGTCCCTTCCATCTCTTAATATTCTTCAATCCTTGTGCCCTCAGAGTCCTTCCTGCACTAGGAAGAAGTCGAAATCCAAAGGTACACGAGCCTCCTAGACACTAGGGATTGGGTGGGGGGATGCCAGGGATGCTCCTTCCTTTAAATGGCGGACATGGGGGTGTAGTATAAAGATGGGGGGGATGCTGTGTGTTGTTGGGTAGGTCCTCTCTCTTCTGTAGAAATGAGGGAGGTTGGACTAGATGATCTCTAAGGGCAGCTAGGTGGCACCATAGTGCATAGAGCACCGGGCCAGGAGTCAGGAAGATCTTAGTTCAAATCCGGACTCAGACACTTTATAGCTGTGTGACCCTGGGGCAAGTCACTTAACCCTGTTTGCCTCAGTTTCTTCATCAGTAAGATGAGCTGGAGGAGGAAATGGCAAACCACTCCAGTATCTTTGCCAAGAAAACCTCAAAGGGGGTCACGAAGTGTTGGACGTGACTGAACAACAATGAAATGTCCCTTTCAGTTCTAATGCTCTACAAATCCCATGATTCTAATCCCGGGCTCCTCTCCCGCTTTGTACCCCTGTGAAAGTGGGATTTGGGACAGGATGGAGGGAAGGGCCCAGGAGAAAAGAAGATGGTTTTCCTAACTTTGGCCCTCACAGGGGTGGCAACTCGGCTGAGCCGAAGGCGGGTGTCATGCCGGGAGCTGGGCCGGCCTGACTGTGATGGGTGGCTCCTGCTTCGGAAGGTGCCTGGAGGTTTCATGGGCCCCCGCTGGCGCCGATGTTGGATGGTGCTGAAGGGTCACACCCTCTACTGGTACCGCCAGCCCCAGGTGAGCTCTGTGCTGCTACTACCGGAGGTGCCAGGCCTCGGTGCATCCTAGTGTCTGCTATAGTTCAGCCCCAGCCAATGGGCTGGCCTTTTCCATCTTCCTGGGAGGCATGCCTCTTCTGGTCTTTGCTGTTCTCTGTCTGTCCTCCTGCTTGTCTCTGCTCATCCCTCTGCCTGTCTGCCCATCTCTTTTCTGTGCTTCTGTCTCTTCCTTGGGCCCCAGGGCCACCCTTCCCGGCCATCTCCCTCCCTGTCCCAAACCTGGGGATGCCTAGGGGGATAGTTCTACCTTAGTGGAGCTTCATGTGTGCTGGAGAATCCTGAGCTGTCTGAGAGTTTCCCCAAATCTGTTTCCCCCAGGATGAGAAGGCTGAAGGGCTGATCAACGTCTCCAACTATAGCCTGGAGAGTGGCCGAGACCAGAAGAAGAAATAGTGAGAGGGACATGTGGGAGGCTTGGGTCAGACTTGGAGAGGAGATGGAGAGATGGGATCAGATTTGGGGTAGGGGGAGGAGAGTGG